TCCCAGAGGAACGGGGCGAGGCGATTGTATACATATACGTGTGTGTGTGTATATATATATATGGGTTATTTGCTGAGGCAGGAACCGAGTTCGGTGGCGGCACCCTGAGGTTCCGCGAGAGTGGCCAGGACACCGTGACATTTCCCTCTCTGTACTGGAAAACGCACTTTGCAAAAATAATTATTATTTTCTTCTTCTTCCCTTACTTTTGTGCTTTCAGTTTGTTTCCAGTACCAAAACAACGTGGAGAGTCGTTTCTCAAATTAACTCCACAGGCTTCCCTCACTTGGGATGCAGAATTCCCTGTCTTGCCACAGTAGCAGTTGTTCTGCAATACTTGACTTTAGCAGCCTCTATTAATTTAAATTTTATTAATTTAAATTTTATTAATGTTACAGTTGTAGAAATATAAATGTTTCATTACAGTTAATTTTAAAGATTAAAAAATACAGAGCAATACTGTTGATTGTATATCAAGCATAGAAGTATTAATGAACTTAAAGTACTCTGTTCTTTAATGTAATTCTACATATTGCACACTTAACTGATGCATCAATTCTAGTAACTCATGTTTTTTTTCTTTTAACTTGAGGTGCTAACATTAACACTTGCTCAGGTGTCTCTTCCTCATTTAAAAAAAAAATATCTTAGCACCCCTACGTTGTAATTTGATAGAAGCTGTTGATATTCAGGTGCATCAATATATGCTTAAGTTACCAATATAACGTGATACTGTCTTAAGCCCAACAAATGCCTGTGTTGAGTTTTAATAGTACTAAAATTCAGTGCCAAAAAGAAATTATTTGAGGCATGATAAATGACCTTTTCCAGGATCAAAGCCCTTTCCTCGCTATGGATATAAACCGTCACCGCCAAATGGTTGTGGATCCCCTCTATTTGGAGTTCAGGTCAGTATTTCCATTTTGGGGCTTGGGTGTCTTTCATACAGCAGTTTTCCTCCATGTGGGTCGTTTTTTCCCTCCCTTGTTCTAAGGATGAGGCAGCATCCACGTGCAGTGCCCCTGCTTTGATCAGCTCCGACATGTGCTTTGGTAACAACATATGGAAAACGTTAGTATTTTAAATGAACATAGCATAAACATTTTCATCGTTCACATAAAATATCATAGGGATAAAATGGAATGTTGGATGAATAATTTCTCATTTTTTTATGTTTGGACTGGCGTTCTGTTCTCACAGTCTTCAAAGTCTTCCAGCTGTAGCCCTGTGAGAGTGGAGGGTTTGGCTCTGACTCTTGCTGTCCTAACTGATGCTAATCCATTTTCTTTAATGATAGAAAGAAAATAGAGATCAGTGTATGTACTGGGTCTGGCTGGGAGGGAGTTAACTTCAGTCCCAGCAGGCCGCATGGCACCATGTCTGGGACTTGGGGCTAAAACAGTGCCGAGCCTTTAGGCTGTTGCTGAACAGCGACTGAGACTGACCGCACAGCTTTGGGACTTGATCTGTTTTTCCCTCGCTCTGCCCATCCACTGCTCCAGCGTGTGGGCTGAGGCTGGGCAAGGGGGTGGGAGGAGACACAGCTGGGGCAGCTGACTCGAATTGGCCAGGGAGATATTCCGCACTACGTAAGAGTCACGCTCAGCAGTAAAAACTGGAGTAGTGGAAGAAGGAAGGGGCGTGTGCGTTTGTGTTTGGCTGCCAAGGTGGCTGTTGCTCAGTGGCTGGCTGGGCATCCACCTGCTTGTGGGACACGGTGAAGACCTGCTTTTGCACTGCTTATTTTGGGGCATTTTCTTCACAGTTTGACATCGGTATCCCTTCGATGACAAAGTGCTGCAATCACCATGACAGATGCTACGATACTTGTGGCAATATAAAAAACGATTGTGATGAGCAGTTTCAGTCCTGCCTATCCAAAATTTGCAGAGATGTGCAGAAAACACTTGGCATCTCGGAGAGTGTCCAGGGTAAGAGTGAAAAAGCCTGCCTTTTTTTTTGTCACCTTTAACTGAGCTTATTTGGCAAAGAATCTTTGTGCAATGCAGTAATGCCACATTTTCTGAAAGGTGCCTTTTTCTGTGCCTCCCTTGTGCATCCCAGACACTTATTTGGACAGCAGAGCAATGACACAGCATAGAAAAACGATCAGGGTTAAAACTAACCTTGAGGGAAAAAGTATTGCATTCTGTTTTGGAGTATGAATATGGGAATACAACTTGATCAAAATGTGTGTGTAATTCTTGCATTTACTGTAGCATAGCTGAATATTCACTGTTCTGCTGTGTGGTTTCCAAATGTCTTCTACATGTGATTGCTAGTAAACCGTAGGAAAATACTGAATTGTTTCCTGTTACGAAATAAAATATTACATTGTCATAATGAAGTAGTTAATGCTGTCCCTTAGTGAATAAATTTTAGGTTTTATAATAACAGGCCATATGATACTTCTAGTTTTTGGCCTGCATCTGATGAATACATGTCATAACCACACTTTTTAACTTGGACAATGTCACTTTCACAGTAAGTAGTCCCACTGAGGACGGTATTTTTTTTAGAACAAACCTGTGTTTGAACTTCTCAAGCTCTCAACTGCAAATAGGTTGTTACATTAGTGTTTAGTAAGAACTGGTGAATATTCGTTCAGTTCTGTTGAGCAGCTGTTAAAAGACAGCAACCTCTGCGTAAACTGAGATGCAGGAAGGGAGGGGGTAAACCAGCTCTTTCATCTTTCCAAGACTAAGTGATGTTTCTAACAGTGATAACATTCCATCTGTTTTGGTTCAGTCCTGCATTGGACAGTCTATTTGCTATGCCCAGAGAAGACTGGTTCTTAGAATCAGTCTCAGTTTGCCAGAGTAAGTTCTGTTAGTTTCATAGTCCGTTCAAAGAGTACTTTTAACTGAACTCCTCTTTGCTTGCAGCTTGTGAGTCAACTGTTCAGCTGCTGTTTGATGCAGTTATACATTTAGGATGTAAACCATACCTGGATAGCCAGAGAGCTGCGTGTATGTGTCATTACGAGGATAAGACAGATCTGTGAAAGAAGATACCAGTATCTCATGGTATAAAATAAAGTCAAAGACTCAGCTGAAGTGAAGCAAATGTTGGGTTACAAAGCTTTATGCATTCAGGCGGTAATATATTAAACACTGACATGAATATACTGGTTTGAAATTTACCATGATATTCTTCCTAATGTAAAAAAGAAAGAAGTCTTCCTTCTCTTTCCCTTTATGCCAGAAGCTTGGAAACTGAAGTTAGTTTCTTTTGGTGTATGTCCGTCCACTCAGGGTATGCCACCGTAAAACACTGGTGTCGGTTTGAAAGTTTTTAAGAAAACCCCATAATGGGGAACTTGGAGGCACAGAGGAGTTGTATTGAATTCTCAGATGATTTTTAACATAGGTCAAATTTTCATCTTACTAGCAGTCCCTGCATCTGGTAGATCCAACAGGAAAGAGCACTTTGTGTGTGTTAATATGGCATCTTAAATAGCCTGTACTTTAATGCTTGTGGTACAGCTGCCTTCAGTTCTCTCTGATGTATGCTGTCCTATGGGTTTATTTGTAAAAAAGCAAAACCAAACCAACCCTCCCAGGCCCTTAGCAAGGGCATATGTCTGCAGTACGTATTTCTGCCTGATGCAGTATCAAGCTTGCTTCTGCAGCACTTTTCAGTTCCAGTATGTTGAGCCTTTTAAGGCTTGACCACTAAAATAAAGATTCCAACCTAAGAATATACTTTTGATTTGAGGAAATGGTGGAATGCTATGTTATTTTAAAAATTATTCAAATGTTTATTTTGCAAATAAAACATTTTGTGTTATGTATTATATGTATTATATGCATAGTTGATTTATATTTGTCTTGTGCTGCAACCTGGTCACCACATTCATCTTTGCTTTCATTTAGTCCATTCTGATGAAAACCAAAAGAAAGTTGCACAGATAGGGTCAGTATGCCCAACAAGCCTTTTTATTTAAAATGCCCTCTGTGAGGCTGACAGATATCTGAGCCTGTTATTTCTGTCATCTGTTCCCATGACCTCTGTGAGGCTGAGAAACATCTGAGCCCATAATTCTGTCATCTCTTCCCTCTCTGACTTCTCTAGCTGAAATCACTTGCAATCTGAATTATCTGGGGTTTGTTCTCTACTGATCTTCCATTGCTTATCTCCAGTTGCCAGTCCTTAGTTAAATTTTGCATCAGGTCCTCTGTCATAAAGATTCTGATTTGCTCACCTGCTGCCCTGACTCTGCCTTAGAAATCCATGGGAGAAGAGGACTGAAAAATTAAAATACTGCATGTGTCAACTGGGAGTGTAAACCACAGTAAAAGCCTAAAGTTTACCAAACTCTGGACTATAATGTGATTCTCCTCTGGAAGTATTTTTATATGTTTTTTGTTTACCAGTTGTTTGTGGTATTTTTGTTTTGGTTTTCACTAGAGCTTACTGTACATGACTGAATCGAAGTGCCTCAGAATAAAGTTCCTGCTAAAGTTCTTTGGCTATGCTCCATGGTTTCTTTTCATATTTGTAGATATGAAATATGACTGCAAGAGAAGTATTACTATAGAATTTTACAAAACCGTGTTTGAAAAATGTGGAGTTCCTTTAAGTTTGGAGAATAAACCCTGAATTACCCTAGAATTCCATTGTTGGAACCCTGAAAGTCTTTTAGCACCAAAGGAGGGAACGGTAATGGCATTCCTTGTTTAAAAAAGTACCACAATGAGTCCAAAACACTGTAATTCAACTAGATGGCTGTTGAGTTCGGTAGAAACGAGTTTAAACTAGGTGCTTAAATGAACACAGAAAATTTTCACTGTTGGAAGGAGCTGAGTTTTGTTCCTTTCTGCATTGACCTGTAACTATACCATGAAAGCCTTCCAGAGTTTCCTTCAAAACATTTGTAACACTGAAAAGAGCTTTAATACTGCTGGATAGCACTTTTGATGGTTCTCTTGGAAAAGCAGAGGAAGCATTTCACTCCTTTGTGTAAGCTTTTCCTGTAGCAGAAATCTTTGAAGATAGTTACCTGTGAACTATACAAAATGTATTTTACAAAACATAGCCCCAAAGTGAAGACTAGCTACCACCCTCAGGATTAACCATACCATTTAACAAGTTACAAATTTATATATATGTTAAAAATAGACTACTTTTCCTGGTTTTGGCTAGGATAGAGTTAATTTTTTTCCTAGTAGGTGGTATTGTGCTGTGCTTTGTATACACACTGATGATTTTAATTCTTGCTGAGCAGTGCTTATACTAAGTTAGGGACTTTTCAGCTTCTTGCTCTGTCCTGCCAGCAAGGAGGCTGGGGGTGCATGAGAAGCTGGGAGGGGGCAGAGGTGGGGCAGCTGACCCCAGCTGACCAAAGGAGTATCCCACACCATATGAACAATAAAACGGGGGGGGTTGGCTGGGGGGTGGTGGCCCGCTGCTCAATGACGGCCTGGGCATTGGTCAGCAGGTGGTGAGCAATTGTCTTGTGTACCACCTGTTTTGTACATTCTTTTGCTATTCTTATTATTTTCCATTCCTTTTCTGTCCCAGTAAACCATATTCTTCTCAACCCCTGAGTTTTACTTTCTGATTCTCTCTCCCATCTCACTGGGGAAGTGAGTGAACAGCTGGCTACCTGCCAGGTAGCTTCTGTGCTTGTAGCAGCAATCTCTAAGGGTGTATTCACACTCAAGTTTATCCTAGAGCCTACCTAGAAATAGGCCAGATAGGAAATTCAGGTACATCCATGGTACAAATCTGCAAAGCTCTTATACAGAAGGATGTTTTTCATCATTGGCTTTAGTTAAGAAACCATTGCTTTCTTAGGCAATCAGTGAACAGTAAGTGCCATATAATGAAAAGGCAGGGAATATCTGCGTTTGTTAAGATACCCCAGCACTAGCTCTTCCATACCTTGGTGCTCTCCTCCTCCTTGAAATTCTAAGATCATCGAAGAGAACTGATGCAAGAACAGAGCAAAGCTGCAATATCATCTACATTCAAACCTCTCATGTGTTTCTATTCGGGTGCCCAGATGAAAATGCATTTTGAGTAACAGCACTCTTAGAGGAAACGAAACAGTACGTACCGTTAAACGGATGCTTTTGAAAAATCTCTATTTAGTAAACACAGTAATTTCTCACCACATTTCAGGATGATGCCTTTGTATGTGACCGTGCAGTTAATGAAACGCGGTCACTGAGGTGCGCACCACGGGAATACAGGGAACTCATCCTACGATGCATCAAGAGAAGTGTGGTCAGCAGGTCAAGAGAGGTGATTCTCCCCCTTTACTCTGCTCTTGTGAGACCCCACCTCGAATACTGCGTCAAGTTCTGGTGCCCCCACCATAAGAGGGACGTGGATCTGTTGGAGCGTGTTCAGAGGAGGCCACAAGGATGATCCAGGGGCTGGAGCACCTCTGCTACGAGGACAGGCTGCGGGAGGTGGGATTGTTCAGTCTGGAAAAGAGAAGACCTAATAGCTGACTTCCAGTACCTGAAGGGAACCTACAGGAAGGCTGGGGAGGGACTTTTTACAAGAGTGTCCAGCGATAGGACAAGGGCAAATAGGTTTAAGTTGAAGGAGAACAGATTTAGACTGGATCTTAGGAAGAAATTCTTCAGTATGAGGGCGGCAAGACTTTGGAATAAATTGCCCAGAGATGTGGCTGCCCCCTCCCTGGAGGTGTTCAAGGCCAAGTTGGATGGAGCCTTGAGTAGCCTGATCTAGTTGAGAGGTGTCCCTGCTCATGACAGGGAGGTTGGATTAGATGATCTCTAAGGTCCCTTCTAGCCTAGGCCATTCTCTGATTCTATGAAAAGCAGCAAGAGACGCTTTAACGCCTCACCCTGCAACTTTCCCGGTTGAGTTTGCACCTTGCAGGTGCCAGGCCAAGCCACCGGCATTATGGATTTACCTTCAGGGTGCACC